AGAGGATGTAGATTTGGACTAGGCATTGGCATTGAAGTGAAAGCATTCACATCTTTTTTTTTTTTTTTTAAGATTTTATTTATTATGTATACAACATTCTGCTTCCGTGTATATCTGCACACCAGAAAATGGCACCAGATCTCATAGTGGATGGTTGTGAGCCACCATGTGGTTTCTGGGAATTGAACTCAGGACCTCTGGAAGAGCAGTCAGTGCTCTTAACCTCTGAGCCATCTCTCCAGCCCCAAATAGTTCTTTTTATCTTGTGAGTCTCTTTGATAGTCTCTTTGAAGACTAACAGTTACCAGGTTTTTTTTTTCCCTTTTATGCCTTGTGCTTTTGCTTTTTGGATACAATTTAAGAACTCTTTTGTCCCAGCTTCAGATTTCAAAGGTTTTTCTCCTTTGTCTTTTTCTAGTTTTATCCTTTAATATTTTATATTTTACATGACTCATGCTTAGTTAACTTTTTGTGTAAGGTGTGAAACCTAGGTTCATCTGGCTTGGTAGTGTGTGGATTACACTGATGGACTTTAAACATCATTGACAGACCTTGCAGCCTAGAATAAACAGCAGCGATTGACCTGCCCAAATCCTCTGTGTTCTCTCTCTCTCTCTCTCTCTCTCTCTCTCTCTCTCTCTCTCTCTCTCATCCTCTGTGTGTGCTCTCTCTCTCTCACATCCTCTGTGTGCTCTCTCTCTCTCTCTCACAACCTCTGTGTGTGCTCTCACTCTCTCTCACATCCTCTGTGTGTGCTCTCTATCTCTCTCACATCCTCTGTGCTCTCTCTCTCTCTCTCTCTCTCTCTCTCTCACATCCTCTGTGTGTTCTCTCTCTCTCTCTCACATCCTGTGTGTGCTCTCTCTCTCTCTCTCTCTCTCTCTCTCTCTCTCTCTGTGTGTGTGTGTGTGTGTGTGTGTGTGTGTGGTTGAATGCAGGACCTTTCCTTACACAGCTATTGCTGGCATAGAGAACCTGAGAAGACTTGGAAGGAGGCAGGGTTTATTGCCCATTATTTCAGAGGTTTCTGTCTGTGGTTGCCTGGTGCATTGCTGTTGCCCTGCCACAGTGATGTGGAGCATCATTTAGGAGGCGCGTCATGAGCGGCAGAGGAGGCAGCTTACCTGTGGTGGTTGAATAAACAGAGCTCTGGTGGTTTGTGGAAGTTCTCTTCTGATGATCATTTTTCTGAGGGAAGTTAGTGGTGTCACCCATGGTTTTAACCAGGTGAAAAAGCAGGGAGGGTGGGTACCAGAGAAGATGTTGGAAATTTTACGATGCTTCAGGGAGTAGGAAGGAAAATGGACTAAGAAATTACCGTATAACCACTTAGTGTTAAACACAGGGTAGAAGCTTCCACATTGAATTTCAGATGACATGAAAACAGTGTATTTATTTCCAGCTGTGGCAGCTACATGATGTACTTGATTTAGCCCTTGCCAAATGAGTGAGAGAGTGTGTGATGTGAATGGGAAGGCAGTTTTGGACGTCGATAAGAAGGATTAGAGTGGTTGGCCACAGCACCGAACCCTGTTAAAGAGAAGAGAATTTATCAGCATGATTTGGTGGTGGCCACCAGGGGCTGCAGTGAGGCTGGGTGTAAGTCTTGATGGATTGAGAAGACTGGCAAATGAATCAGAAAGCTAGGTCAGCATTCCAGGATGGGTGTGGGGCAGAACATATAATATTGGAGTGAGGGGCTGATGGGGTAGGTTGGGCTGACTCAACAGAAGAGACGTCATTGGGGCTCAGAGGTTAAGAGCACTGGTTCAAGTCCCAGCAAACACATGACAGTTCACGACTCCGGTTCCTTCCAAGGGATCTGATGCCCTCATACAGACATTCATGCAGGCAAAACAAAAGTGTGCATAAAATAAAAATAATTACAAAGAAAGAAGAGGTCATGGATTTCGAAATCCAGATAGGAACTTTTCTCTGGTTGAGTGTGAAGGCGAGTTTGTAATATTTTCTTTTTAAATTTTATTTATTTATTCTGTATACAACATTCTGCTTCCGTGTATATCTGCACACCAGAAGAGGGCACCAGATCTCATAACAGATGGTTGTCAACCACCATGTGGTTGCTGGGAATTGAACTCAGGACCTCTGGAAGAGCAGCTCGTGCTCTTAACCATTGATCCTTCTCTCCAGCCCTCGCAAGTTTGTAATATTTTCACTAGACCCAACATAAATAAGTGGGTGTGTTTATTTGGGGACAATTACACAGAAAAATAAAAAGAACTGAGGGAGAGCTTCTTCAGCCCTTCCTACCGGATCAGCTGACCCACCAGAAAGACAGAGGGAAGGAAAGCCAAGCCTCAAGCTTCCCTCCTTCCACTTTCATCTGCCTGGAGCCACACCAAAGAGGTGTGGCCACCGTTACAGGTTCACAGAGCAGATGCCTACACGAGTGAGAACCTTAGAGTTAGGAGCTAAAGTCTTAGAATGAGGGGGCCTTTTAGGTGTTGGTGATAAGGGAGGTGTATGCCCCAAACCAGTGACACCTCTGGAGAAGAATGGGAAACTGGTGTGCGGAGAAGGGGTGCACCCCTTCTTCAGTCTGTTCAAGGTGTGGGAGAGAAACCAGGTGTGGAGTAAAAGTGCTGCAGGGCCAGCATATTTAGAAGGGAATCAGGTTTCCAACAGAGAAGCAGGAGGAGAGATCTGGAGGGCCCAGGGTAGGGTTTCTGTGTAGTCACTCCTGCCTCTCCCAGCTCAGGTCCTTTAGACACTCTCCAAAAAGTTAGACAGAGGAAGACTGATTTGTTTGTTTTGGAGACAGGGTTTCATATAGCCCAGAGTGCCCTCAAACTAGACTAAGGGTGACCTTGAACTCTAGGGCCTCCTGCCTCCACTGCTCCAGTGCTAGCATCAAGGTATGTGTTGCTGTACCTGGCTCTAACTTACTATCTTTTTTTTTTTTTTTTTTTTGGAGACAGGGTTTTCTGTGTAGCTTTGGAGCCTATCCTGGCACTCGCTCTGGAGACCAGGCTGGCCTCGAACTCACAGAGCTCCGCCTGCCCCTGCCTCTGCCTCCCGAGTGCTGGGATTAAAGGTGTGCATCACCACCGCCTGGCTCCTACTATCTCTTTAAACATTTTTTTTTTTTTTTTTGTTAGAAAGTATTTTTTCTGGGAGACTTCTGTTGCATTAAGATGTTGCTGTCCCTTTTTCTATATACAAAGTAGATGTCAGCTGTGCTATTTAAATGAGACAGTATTTTATATGAACAGTTGTTTTCTGTACATGGGCATATTTGTGAAGGCCTGTGGCTTGTTTTTATAGACTGAAGGTCTAGACCATATACAACAGGCTTTGTTTGTTTTAATAGTAATAGGTGTCCCCAAAGGTCTTTGGTGGAGGCTGCATTCAGTTACAGACTGGAACACTGTTCAGATTCAGCAGTTTTCCTCTGTACTATATCTCATTGGTTATTTCTGCCGTGTAGAGTCTTAGCTGTACTTCAGCAAACCTCCCTGAGGAAGTAGAGGGACAGGCTGGAAGATTGTGCAAGCTCTGGCTTCATTTTCCTTCCATCCAGAGACTGTCTTCCCATTCTTTAAAATAGACTGTTGTCACTTAGCTTGCAAGTTCTAGTTTCTGGTTCCTATCCTTTAGAATTTTGGTGTTTGTTTATTTATTTATTTATTTATTTATTTTTGAAGAGGGTCTTCAAGTGTCACTTAGAAATGCTGTCTATAGCTTGTTTGTGGCTTTGTTATATGCCTGAAACAGGACTTTTTAGAGTAAAAACCTGGGTTCTATCCCCAATATGAAAAAACCTATCCCCAATATGAAAATGAGAGCCAAGGACTGTTGAAAACTAGAGAATTAATGTGAGGAGAGGTAGAAACTAAGAAAGGGGTTCAGCTGGGTGTTGGTGGCACACGCCTTTAATCCCAGCACTTGGGAGGCAGAGGCAGGCGGGTCTCTGTGTTTGAGGGCAACCCGGTCTCCAGAGCGAGTGCCAGGACAGGCTCCAAAGCTACACAGAGAAACCCTGTCTCGAAAAACAAAAATAAAAACAAAACAAAACAAGAAAAACAAAAAAACAAAAAAACAAAAAAAAAGAGAGAGAGAGAAAGGGGCTCAATGACTCCTAAGTCCTGTTTTCAGGGTTCTGACATGAACTTTTAAATTTATGCAAGGGGTAGGAAGGGACAGATTGTGCATAACGAGTATCTTGGTCAGGGTGTGGTCTGGGGTTCTTGTCTCTGGTTTGGCTCTGCAAGGTGGTCAGAAGTTCCTATTGCTTGAGGAGACATGGTGGTTCTTGGGGGATGCACTTCTGTTTCTGGGTGCACCCTCTCACTGGTGGGTCACTGGTCTGTTCTTGGAGGGTCTGCTCGGTGTAGACTTCAAGGTACCTTCAAGATTAGGGTAGTGGTTCATTTCTCTGCTTGCAACCTTGAAGGAGGATAACAAATACTAGTTAGATATGTCTCTGAGTGCCTTACCCAACCAACCTGTAGAGGGAAGCAGGACACAGAAAAGCAAAGGCTTTTAATCTGTGCTTGATCATTTTCTGGGCACTAGTTGAGGGGTCAGTGATTTTTTAGCAGAGGCAGATTCTAAGTACCTGTTGTATAGTGTACGAAGTTTGCGTGTGTGTTTGTGTAGTAATTGATTTCTATAACCCACTTGACCCAGGATTAGCCTCCTGTTTCTGCTAGGGGATGAGGTGGAGCCTGGACAAGGCTGGCTCAAGTCCAGTCTTTGGTAAAGGGAAACAATAGTGGTAGCCTGGGGTCTGTGCAGACTTTGCCCGACCTGAAATAGTTGCTTGCTTGCTCTTTGAGTAGCAGGCTGTGCTGCAGTGGGTCCCTTACTCTGTTCAAGTTGTTACTGAGCAAAGCAGATATTACCTGAGATTAATTGACCAAGAAGAAATGCAATTGAATGCCATAGGAATTTATTATACTGAAGTGAAAAATTAAATAAATACTGTTTTCTCTTAGTAGAGAAAAGGTTGGCAGTGTTGGGGTGCTTTTGTTTTTCAGATACTCCAGAGCACACGTCACACAACTCCACCGTTTCTCCTCTAGCTGCTCTGGCATCTGGAAACAACACTGAACCTTCTATTTCCCAGATCAGTACCACGGTTCCTTCCCCAGCCAGTACAGAGAAGAATGGAGGCACCTCTGCGACACCCACTCCCTCTGTTGCTCCTGTGTCCCAGGACGAGGCTGATGGCAATGAAGATCCTAGCATGGAGGAGGAGGATCTTCTGGCCCTCAACAGTTCCCCATCCACAGCCAAAGACACTTTGGACAATGGTGACTATGGAGAGCCAGACTATGACTGGACCACCAACCCCAGGGACGAGGAGCCTGATGATAATATAAACATAGAGATAGACAGAGAGAACAGGCGCTTTAGGGGGTTTGAGGACTCCGTGAAGGTGGTGAAGCTCCAGCCCCCAAACAGAGAAGATAGCCATTTCTTTTTCCATCTCCTTATTTTTGCTTTCTGTACAGCTGTTGTTTATGTGACGTATCACAACAAAAGGAAGGTAAGTTGGGATTTTTGCCCTTTATGTATTGCTTCATTGTCTTAGTTATCCTTGTATAAATTCTTTCAGTCAGGTTGAATGTGGTGATAAACTGTTAACATTTCTAATAAAGTTATGAGTCTGGTACATTAGACAAATGAGGAATAAGGATGCACTTCTAGGAAATTACTTAATTTTTTTTTTGCATAGTGAACAAAATCAAAGTCTAAACAAGTTATTTATTTTTCAGACAGGGTCTTACAGTGTAGCCCTGACTGTCCTGGAACTCACTGTGTAGACCAGGCTGGCCTCAAACTAATAGAGATCTGCCTGTTTCTGCCTCCCGAGTGCTGGGATTAAAGGTGTGCCATTGCCTGACTTGTATTTTCAGAGCTGATTGTTTAGTATTGGATAACCAATTGGTGTATTCTTTCCAGCTCTCAACATTCCTTACCTGCCTGTATTTTCTTTTTTTAGGGTGAGGTCTCATGAGCTTTCCCCTGTCTACTTTGACACCATAACATACTATTTAAAGATACATTTTTACATTTGCATAATTGATTGTGCTCTCTATTTTTAAAAAAAAATATTTATTTTTATTTTATGTGCACTGGTGTTTTGCCTGCATGTATGTCTGGATGAGGGTATTGGATCCTCTGGAACTGGAGTTACAGACAGTTGTAAGCTGCCATGTGGATGCTGGGGATTGAACCTGGTTCCTCTGGAAGAGCACCTGGTACTCTTAACCTCTTAGCCTTCTCTCCAGCCCTGGCTCTGTTCCTATTGGACAGTTAGATTATTTCAGGTTTTGGTCCAAAGGTAGCACATGATTACCATTTCTGTGCTGTATTGCTTTCCTGGGTTAAAGGAGGAACCTAATAACCTAGGCATAAGCTAATGGGGGCAGGGCAGTCACCTAATACTACCCAGTAGTCGACCCTTTTGGAATGCTGAAGAAGTTCAAGCACAGCCTCCTCTATGTATGATGCTCTCAGGAGCTTGGTTCCTGGGACTTGCCTTGTGACTCAAGCTGCCTGTCTTCCTCTTTGAGGCCTTCATTTTCTTACCTGAGAAATGACAAAATGGACCAATTAATTTCAGAATGTCTTCCAGCTCTGAGTGTTGATGACCCAGTGACAGAAAGCAGCAGGCAAGCCACTGGAGTCCCTTGTTAACTAACTTAAACTGAGTGTGCTGACATTTGTGGGCAAGTAGGCTCCTGGTTTCCACCCCACACCCACTGAGATGAATAGTGTAGCCTTGCTCACAGTGCTGGAGAAGGGTGTCATTTTATTATTGTGATAGCAGTTTTTGTGTCCCAAAGCCTAAAGAAGATCCTGCATTTGTTAAAAAAGTTACCAGGAGGCTGGAGAGATGGCTTAGAGGTTAAGAGCACTGGCTGCTCTTCCAGAGGTCATGAGTTCAATTCCCAGCAACCACGTGGTGGCTCATAACCATCTATAAAGAGATCTAGTGCCCTCTTCTGGTGTGCAGGCAAACATACAGACAGAACACTGTATATATAATAAATAAATTTTTAAAACAAAACAAAAAAAGCTGTTACCAGATAAGTTTTCTCTTTGGCTTGTCTAATTGCTTTGTTTTATTTCAGATTTTCCTCCTAGTTCAAAGCAGGAAGTGGCGTGATGGCTTGTGTTCTAAAACAGTGGAGTACCACCGTCTAGACCAGAACGTGAATGAGGCCATGCCTTCTCTGAAGATCACCAATGATTATATTTTCTAAAGCACTGTGATTGGAGTTTGCTTCTTCTGTCATTTTATTTGCTTGACTTTTATATGATGTCGTGCAGAATTCTGCCACAGGCAAGTAGTACTTATCAAGAGGGGGCGCTCTCTTTTGCCTTGGTGCTTCTGAACTAAATGTCACAAACAAGGGGTATATCATTTTTTAATCTTTTCTTTAGAGCTAGATTCAATCAGGTATCTGAAATGTGAGTTAAACGTTACCGTATATTTTTGTGTAGTTATTATTTTCCATTTATTGTGCCTCTGGCAGCAGTGTTCCTTTGAAAGATCCCAAACCAGAGCTAAAGTTTCATGGGGCCCAGCACTGCTGGTTTTCATCACTTGCTACCATCCAAATGCTGTTTTTCTTCTTCTTTATTCTATTCTAATTTTTGAGACAGGATCTCACTAAATAACCTAAGCTGGCCTCAAATAGTTGGTCTTCTTGCTTAGGATTCTCAAGTGCTGGTACCACAGGTGTGGCCACCCCACCCACTTCCAGATAACATATTTTCAAACACATTTTGTGTGTGTGTGTGGTACCAAACTTTAATTTACAAGGATGTTGTGATATAATGCTTTGCTTTAAAGTAACATGTTTTCCTCTCTTTCAAAACTGCTTTGAAAGATGGATGATAAGGTGGGCTCAGTCAGTGAGGGCGTTTGCCGCCAAGCCTGACAGCCTGAGTTCAGTCCCCAGGACCTGCATGGCTGAAGGAAATATTGAATTCTTGCAGGTTGTCCTCTGACCTCCACACGTGTGCCATGGCATTTGTGCACCTACACACTCATGCTTACACACACACACAGTAAATAAATGTAATTATTTAAAAAAAAAAACAAACTCTTTGGGTGTTTTTAGACACTTAAAACAGTGTAAGATAATGTGGCTGCTGCTTTACCAATCACACGTTAAACTTGTTTGGGAATTCTTGCAAAATAGGCTGCAATTCCTAGTGAACACAGTTGAAATGTTAGGTAGATAGCAGTTTTTGGTTTGGATTACTGAATGAAGGTTAGGTAGAAACTGGTAGATTATTTAACTGATGAACAACAGTTACTTTTAGTCAGCACTTGATTTTAGCACAAGTTCCAAGGGTTCAGGTGATGAGCAGTGTTTAAAACTTAGATCAGAGTGTTTTCAGTTTGTTTCTTGCTTCACAGTAAATTTGAAGAGACTTCAGAGGCCATTATCACTTAAATGATACTGTGTCTCCATCCTGCAATTAAAGTGATAATCTGAATAAAGTTTACACACAGATCTGTGTAACAGTGACATTCAGACTCCCTGCCATGTTTTTATTATGTTGTCCCCTCCTCCCACAGCAACTGGAATTATTTACTGTATTTCACGTTAGTCTGTTTTTTAGAGTTGGTCAGAATGTAAATGTGTGATTTGAACTGTGGTTGACTACCAAGCTTCATTACTACCCCCCAGAAGGCATAGCCTTTTCTGTGTGCTCAGTAAAGCCCAGGCGAGCCAGCAGCCACGATCCTGGTGCAGACAAGGAAGCAGCACTGCTGTCCTTCCCCTTTGGGGACAGTTGATTGAAGGATGGGCAGCATAGTGAAATATACCTGGACTGTTTTATTGCAGTAGTTTTTTTCATATCTGAAATTGTATTATTTAATATTTTGAATAAGATTTTAAGAAATAAATGGTAAAGTTATAACTCTGTGCTTTTTTAAGTGTGTTTATTACAGTTCTGACTTTTGGTGGCTACAGGAGGCCTGTGCTGGGAGAAAGTGAGCCCTAGCCAGCTGTTGGCTGGCCTGCTCAGTGGAGGAACTCTGTCTCTAAGATGCCACTTACAGTCTGAATTCTTCCGTAGGTCGAATTTGTCACTGCATCTGCTAACACTGGCAAACTAGGATGGCAACAAAGTGCTTGCAGGTGACCAAGAGTGCTTTTCAGTTCTGGGCTCCCTGAACTGACGCTCTCCAGATCAGCCCTGGGGAGAGAGCTAGGCTTCTCAGGTACCTCCTGGTGGTGGTGGTCACTGCTGGAGGTGCTGCCTTCAGCAGCCTCTGACTTTGGCAGTACCAGGTGGTGCACAGGGTGAAAATGCTGCTGGGGTTTGACTGGCACTCGAGCACTGGGTGAGGGACACTATCTTGCCATGTGTGACCATGCCTGCCTTGGCTGGGGTTTCTGTGGGGTGAGGGCTGCTCATATGGATTGTCCTACAGACTGAGCTTGAACAGGAAACGGTTGTTGCTTCCCCCCACTCCCTGCCTATCAGTTTCTACATTCCTTTAAGCTTTAAGGTAAAGTATCTGAGGAATTAGAAGCAAGGCAGCCCCTGGCTCCTCCCAGGATTATATAGTTGGCATCTAGTCTACCACAGTTGCTGGCATGCAGGACACATCTGTGTAGGCGGAAGTTTCTATACCACCCTCCAGTTCCCAAATAACCAACACAGAGGCTTAATGTTAATTATAAATGCTCAGCCTTTAGCTCATGCTTATTACTAGTTCTTAACATCATAGCAACATATATTCACACAGTGTAAAGGAATATCCTATGTACCTGTCCACAGGGTAGGTAGGAACCAGCCTGAGAGTGACAACTGTTACAGCCCTGTAGGAAGATAAAGCACACACTGATGGTGAGGTCTGGTTGGTATTTGGATCTGGTCAGAGCTCTCACTTGGTGAATGTGCATGCATGCATGCATGCCTGTGTGCAGTGTTGAGGCTGCACTTGGGTTTTTCAGCCTGGTTTGATGCTGCAGCAGCTTGTACCCATTCTGGGATCCCCCATGAAGCAGTTGAGATTTGTGTAGTCTGACTGGGCAGAGTTCCAACCGAATACACAGTATAGCAGTCTTTACTGGTTGGGGTCTATTCACTTGTGTTGTGTTCACTTTCACTTAGGAGGGGAAGTGTCCGAACAGACGTTGGAATCAGAGTGCAGGCTGTTCTGACATGTCTCAGTAGCCTTCTGTGATGGTTGTTTGCTATCTGTTGCTGAGGTCTGACTTGGGGCAAGCAGCAGTTTTTACCTGATGAGCCCTAAGCCTAGTGCTTCTCCACCCCATAAGAGCCCAGGCACACTTGCTGCCTGCTCATGGATGGCCTTTAAAGCTCTTGCTCACAGCTCTATCTATTGCCCTAATACTTTTGTAGTGAAACCTAGTAGAGAACTCTAGAAACGCTATGTTCTGGTAACTGATGTCCTGATGCCTTTCTCACGGGGCTTTTTTGTGCCACTTCCTGGTGTATAGATGGATAGCATGGACATCTGAGACTCCCCAGGGAGGTTAACGCCCTTGGGTGGGAGCTACAGTGTGCCTCGGAGTCACAGGTCTCCCCTCTGTATCTGGCCTCCAGGCTGAGTCCTCCCTTTTGCAGTCTTTGGGAGAAGTCAGTACATTCATGTCTGTTTCTTGGGAGGAAGAGAGGTGTCTTAAATCTGAAGCCAAGGTAGTCCTGGTCTATGCTGTTCCATCTTCTGGAGCTGAGGTAGTCCTGGTCCACCCTGCTCCATCCTCTCTGGAGCTGAGGTAGTCTTGGTCCATGCTGCTCTTAGTTCATCTGCTGGGAATTCAGACTGAGGAAGGCATGGAGAGAACGGAGTGTGGATTGAAGCCAGTGCTGAGCAAGCTTGAGCTGAGTTGTGTCTCAGCCTTGTACTGAGTGAGATGGGTAATTGATTATTCCAGAGAGCTATTGGGAGAAGTAAATGTTCCAAAAAGGATATTGTAGGTGGAGAAATTTCTTAACTTGTCATTGGCCACAGAAGGGTCAGCACAAGCCTTGGACCCACTGAAGAGGGAGTTGTAGGGAGACACTGTAGCCACTCCTTAGGAGGCGTGGTTATGGTGTCTCCCTACAGGGAGTTATCTAGGAAACTGCAGGAGTGGTCCTTAGTCCTGGGGCTGCCTTCCTGTTCCCTGGGGCTCCTCTGAGGCACACAGCAGGTCAGGGTTAGGTTTGTGCTGTGCTGAGCCTTCCAGGCATGTGTGGCCCAGCTAGGTGATAGATGGTGACTTTTAGAGTTTTACAATCTCATTCTTCTCCATCCTTGTCTTTGTCCTGAAACAAGGCCAGGGGCCAATGGGATGGGAGGAGAGGGATGGAAAGGGGGGAAGGGAAAATTGACTTTAGGCCCCTCTCCCTGGGGAGTGAGATCTGAGCAAGACTCAGGCTGCAGGGTTTCTCTCAGGTGCCATTTCTTGGGAAGACTTTCCCGCTCAGCATTTTTTAGTTGCCTGTAGTTCTCTGTAAGAGTTTTTCATTCCACGTTAGCATGTCTGTTGGTGTATCTTTGTTCTGGTATTGTTTAGGCAGCTACGTTGATGAGACTTGACAGGTGCAGCTTCTCTGACGTTTCTAGGAGATGCCATCACACAGCAAACTTCACATTCTTCTGGCCCTTACAACCTTTCTGCTGTCTTCGGGTTTCTATTGCTATGAAGAGATACCATGACCACGCCACCTCTTATAAAGGAAAACATTTAATTGAGGCTGGCTTACAGGTTCAGAGGTTTAGTTCATTATCGTCATGGCAGAAAACAGGCATAGTACTGGAGGAGTCGTCCGGATCTGCAGGCAGCAAGCAGAGAGACTGAGCCCTCTGGGTCTGATTGAACTTCTGAAACCTCAAAACCCATTCCTCTGAGACCACATGTCCTAATCCTTTCAAATAATGCCACTCCCTATGAGCCTATGGGAGCTATTTTCATTCAAACCACCACATGCCCCTTTGCCACAGTCATCCTTGAGCCTTAGGAACAGGAGTTGTGTTGTAGGTGTTTCAGTTGTATTCAGCCCCAGGGAATCGGATGCCACTGGGCACTACGGGGTCACGTGTTCTCTGCATTTTGATCAGGTGTGGGTTTTCTGTAATGGTCCCCATCGGCTGCTAGATGTTCTTTAATGAGGGTTGAGACCTGTGCTTATCTGTGGCTATAAGGAGAAATACTTAGAATGTAGTTAGGAATTATGCTGGTTTAAGAAGTACATTTTCTTAACTGCCAAGCCATCTTCCAGCCCCTTTTACTGCTTTTTTATTTAGTTCCTCTATCCATTAATGAAATGGTCTGTCTGTGGAAGTTTCCAATTGTTTTTACAGCTCTGTCTAGTTCTTGTCTGTCGACAGTTTGCTTCATACATTCTGGGACTCTGTTGTTTAGTTTACATATGTTTATAGTTGTTAGGTCTTTATTTTTTTCTTATTTTTTTACATCTGGAGAGGTGTGGCTCAGTGGTTAAGAGCACTGGCTGGGCTCCCCCAGGA